TACTAATATAAACACAAATATTAATAATTCACAACATTTATTATAAAAAAAGAATTAAATTTAATAATATTTAATAATAATAATATTGATATTAAGAGATAGGCTTAGAGAGGTCTGTTTATAATGCATGTACTGTAGATGCCAGCAGCCTATCTAAATATGTGGATTTTCAAGGAGGTAAAATAAATTATTTTTTATCATTGTATACAGTAAGTTTTTATGTATTAAAACATTCTTCATTTCTAAATAAATTAAAAATTGTTTGTAAAGATGTATTTTAAGACATAAGTTGCAAAACCAAGATTTAAAAAAAAGGTAGGGTCGGTGGAAGAGGGTGGTGTCAAACTTCTTTACATGCACATCTAGACCTCTCACACATTAGGCCAACCAGCCCTCCTTAAACTAACGTTAGAATACCGCACTTTCGGCGGTAAAGAACAATTAAAACCTCATAAAAAAGGCAACTAATCCGTTTACCCATAATTGAATCCAAGGGCACCAGTGTTAATCACTCAGTACTTATCCTTGATAATTTGTTAATCCAATTAATATAGTGAGATAACTTAACGTTAATTTATCGAGGGCGGGTTGAGCTAATGAATATGTAACTAGTGCAAGTGGACTTGCTTGTCATATTAAAGTGTGCTTCACACTTTGTGCAAAAACAAAATGAAAACAAGTCCCATGCTTTTGCAAAAAAAAGGGTCATACAGTAGTAGTAACCATCAGCACCTCTAAAAATTATGTAAGGCTTTATTCAGAACAATCCAAGTTCCAATCTAACAGTCATACTTATGTCAGGGAGCATTAATTAAGATGGCTAAGCAATCAATCATAGTTAGGTAGGCATATGTAAATATATAATCTTATTATGGTAAATCTCTATTTAAGGGGTTCTCGACTATATTGCAATAGAGGCCAGAATTGTTCATTGAATAAATTTGAACCTCCAAGACAAAAGATATACTATGGTCCGCAGCACCATCCACAAACTGCTGGTGCTAGTCAGGGGAGGGTTTGGGAGGAGGTCATCCTTCGCGAATTAGACATTTAAAAAAAATTACAAGCCGCTAGACACTCATACAGGGCATCTTGACCTAAGAAAACCCATGTGTTTGGAAACACAAAAGTAAAATGTTACATATTACTCATCAATGGTCATCAGTAATGTAATAGGCCTACAGTACTTCTTTGTTGTTTGCTGAGATAGTTCTTCCGAGTTTATTGATTAAATCGCTATAATTTGTGGGGCAATATACATATAAGCCTAGTCGGCAAAACGGAATGCAAAATTATTAAGGTTAGAAAGAATGGAAAACATTATTTTCGGCTTGTTTTCGCAGGCCTCATAACACGCACTCAAAGGCCTGTTTGGCCCGCGGGCTGCCAGTTGAGAACCCCTGCTCTATTATTAGATTTATTTTGTATATTGATTAGAAAATAATCAGCAGAAATTGTAGACACAGATAAATTGAGGCCTACTGTACATACATAACACAATAAATTATACAATACCAGTAAATATTAATCAAACAACATTGTCTTGTTTGATTTATAGTTTGAAGAGGATTAAAAATTCCTTTTGTAATGACTGACAACTGCTTGTTTGTTTTCAAAATTAACGATGAGGAGCTTGACCTTGTTACTATTATTATTATTATGTGTTTATGATACCATCCATGAGGATGAATACAACATTAACACTAACTGAAATGAATGCACTTTTTAACATTACCAAGAAATATTATCATAAGAAAACATCAAATGAGCTAGAAAACTAGGGCAACTAAAGTAGGCCACATAAAAAAGAAAAATTGGTTAACATTTTTTTTAAATCTTGGGTTTCTTTCGGTTAAATCAGGAAAAGGGTGGGGTTGCGATATGTAGGAAAAGTAAATGAAATTTACAATGTACTGTACAGTACCATACAATGCAGACCTGCCAACTCTTGGGTAATGAAAATATGGAGATTATTTTAAGAATCATAAAAAAAATCTGGAGATTTACCAAAAAATCTGAAGGTTTCCAGCATCAACCAAAATATGATGCAAGATAGCAAAAAAGTCATTGGCCGTTGGTGGCGACATTTGAATTGAAAATGGCTGCTTGTTTGATGCACCGTGAAGCGAGCAGGCGGCGAATACATTGAATAATAAAGATCAAATCAATCAAATTATGCATAAATTGGAGTATTTTTGGGGATTGAGTGGCCTGTGAAATCGGGTGAAAATTACATTCGATCGGGAGAACTGGAGATTTGTTTAAATATCGGGTGACACCCGACAGGATCGGGTGAGTTGGCAGGTCTGAGAATGTATTTAAAAGATGAAATTGATATTAAGACAAATTACTTTGCAAGAAATGAAGAAACATCATTTTTAGTAAAGGACCCTGAGTTCATACATAAACAAAATTTTGCGCTGGGGTCAATCATTCGTCATATTTTAGGATTTAAAAAAAAAGTATGTCTGCGAGTTTTTCGATGTCGTGAGGGGATGCTAACCAATTTTTTATTTTTTTTTTACATGGCCTAGAATACTTTAATTAGTGACCTAATAAACAGTATGTAGGGCCTACAGTGTTGTATATTGGCATTTAAATGAGGTAATTTTCTAGGCCTACAGTAGTTTCATTTGGAGAAAATTTGGGTTTTTATGATGTTTAATTTTAGGATTTTAAATTATTTTACTATTTTAGGCATTCA